GGCATAGACCCATTGCTTCCAAGAGTTGATGGTACACATGGCCCAGAGCTGGAGGTGAATTACCTCTGCCATGTTGGGAAGCTGAATTGGGCGGAGTCAGCAGCCAAGGCTTCTGCTTCAGTACTAGCCACTGCAATTTAAAGCAATAGTTACACAATAAGGCAGATTCAGATGGAACAAGACTTTAAATGATTTACAATGTGTGTAAAAATGTACGTAGGCTTGGAAGAGAGAGAAAAAGGAATATATGCAGTTACATAAAGAAATAGATAGTTTTAAAAAATAAAGTCCGCTGGGCAGCAGTGGCGCATGCCTTTAATCTTAGCACTTGGGAGGCAGAGCCAGGTGAATCTCTATGCGTTCAAGGCCAATCTACAGAGCAAAACCCAGGACAGGCACCAAAACTACACAGAGAAACCCTGTCTCAAAAAACCTAGATAGATAGATAGATAGATAGATAGATAGATAGATAAAAAATAATGTCTTTAAAGAGACAGTAAAAGGGGCTGGAGAGATGGCTCAGCAGTTAAGAGCACTGGCTGCTTTTCCAGAGGTCCTGAGTTCAATTCCCAGCAAACACATGGCGCCTTACAACCATCCATAATGAGGTCTGGTGTCCTCTTCTGGCCTGCAAGCATGCATGTAAGGCAGAACACTGTATAAATAATAAATAAATAAATCTTAAAAAAAAGAGAAAGTAAAGGTAATATAAAAAATTAGCCATGTAAAAATGGATATTACACAGAGAATCTGGATTGTGTTGTCTTTGGGATTTTTAACTGTAGAAAGACATTTGATTATAAAGGCTTCTCAGTTAAACCAATATGTATATTTTAAAGGTATCTTGACTTCAAAATTTGGATCTAAGGATATATTGCTTTGGAAAGGAGGCTCTGCTTTTGTTTCCACAGGAAGCAAGAGGCTATGGATTTGTTCCAGATTAAGATACATCAGGTATGACCAGACAAGACCCCCTGAAAGGTCTCCGATGACACCATGGCCCAGATCATCCAATATCCAAATCAACTTCAAGGCAACTGGCTCAGAGAATAGAGCCTCATAGAATACTCCAGTCAGGACTTGACCATAATCCTAGAATTTTCTTTGTGTCCCCATAAGATACCAGTGCCCTCTATCGGCAGGAAGTAGCCCAGAAAGCTATGCCCACATTCCCAAAACATGGATTATGGATGTTTGTCTTTGTTTAGATTGTTGGTTGCAAATTGTTATTAGTCATAGTCAATCTCTTTTTAAAAGAAGAAAGGAGAATATGATATAGAAATATAGGATATAGATATGATAGGATAAAAGGGTGGATTGTTGAACCTACTTTTAAAGAGCAACTTGCTTAAAATGTTTTACGTTGGTATAAATTTTATTTTATTGATACAAATTTAAATTTAATTTTGTTATACTGTATGTATATTTCTACTCTTGTTTAAAGTATTATGTTTGCACAGCTCATTTGAAATTGTAATGTATTATTAAGGAATACAGATTAATAATGTCTTCTATGATAGTCAAACTTATAGTCATGTTAAGTTTTCTAGGTATACATAGATATAATTCAATTAGGTAGGTAATCTTCAAATACTTCAAAGACCTACAGAATATGGCATTTAAAGTGTTTTTAAAACAGACTTTCTGGACAGTGAGACATATCTGCTCCTGGCAGCACTGATTTACTTCAAAGAGAAAGATGGGTATCAAAGACACTCCATATGGAGTTTATCTTCTTGGCAAAAATAGCCATTTGGGCAAGAAACTGTTCTTGCCTGGACTGCTTGACAAAATGTTGTATCGACTGGACATGCAAGAAGGTGACCACTGAACTTTGCAAGACGAGATGGTCCTTCAGGTTCCTGCTTTGCAGAAGAAACTACCAGACATTCTACAGGACACAGAGAAAAGCAACTGAGAGACCCTAGGCCTGTGGGCTGAAGAATGGATGCCCCAACTTTGCAGAAGAACTTCAGATGACTGTCCAGGCAGCCAGCTGTCTCTGTCATTCTAGATTTTTGAAAGTTGCTTACAATGTACTTCCTGTTTACTTAGGTAATATTATATTCCTTCTGAGGTCTTTGATGTAGTTGAAGACTAGATAGTTATAATTTTCCTTGGTTATGATAAAAGATAAGTTAGATATGAAACCATAGACTCACAGATATAGGATAAATAGAATATTCTCTTTAATTTTGCCAAATACAAATAGACTAGATATTGTAACTGTAATTCTTGCTTGATAACTGTCTGGTATATGTAATTTTACTATGTTAAAGTTAAACCCCTCCTTTTTGATTAGACAGAAAAGGGGAGGTGCTGTGGGATGTTCTGTATGCTGTGAATGTGTTGCTCTGATTAGTTGATAAATAAAATGCTGATTGGCCAGTAGCCAGGCAGGAAGTATAGGTGGGATAAACAGGCAAAGAGAATTCTGGGAAGTAAAAACAGAACTGAGGACTAGACGCAAGCCCACCATCTAGGGAGCAGCATGTAATGGCATACAGGTAAAGTCATGGAAAATGTGGCAACATATATTAACAGAAATGGGCTGAGTTTAAGTGTAAGAGCTAGTCCATAGTAAGCCTGAGCTAATGGCTGAGCAGTTTTAATTAATATAAGCCTCTGTGTGTGCTTACTTGGGTCCAAGCAGCTGCAGGACTGGTGGGTGAGAGAGATTTGTCCTGACCTCGGGCCAGGTGGGACACAGGAAAACTTCCCCTACAATATATTGAGTTTGAGGCCAGCCAGGGCTACGTGAGACCCTGTCACACAAAGGAGGAGAAAAGACTTTAGGCAACTGACAGTGGTAGCACACAGCTGTAATTCCACCATTTGAGAGGCTGAGGCAAGAGGACCTCAAGTTTGAAGCCATTCTAGGCTAGTGAGTTTAAGGCTAGACTGGGCAAGGTTATACTTGTCTGTAACCCCAGCCCTTGGGAGGTGGAGACAGGATACAGAGTTCAAGGCAAACTGGTGGCCACCTGAGTTATGGGGGAGGAGATGACAAAGGATGGTGGTTATAAACAGGCAATGATGGTGTATAGCAGCAACAAGTGGCACTAACGTGGATGGCTCTGTTTTCTTCCGACCAACAGCCACAAGGGGCCACGGCAATTTTCTCTGTATTCCAACTTTAGTATATGTATGGCCAAATGAACACAATTAATTGACTTTTTGTTATGGAAATGAAGATGGTGTAATAGACACCCTCTGAGGAAGGATCTATGATTCTCACCTCCTGGTATTTACACTCTCACAGGTCATTTCAGGAGGCTCTGTTAGCTCAGTAGGATATTGCAGAAATAATGGAGTTAGTTGCTTGGGCAGAGGAGGGATGGCTCGGTGGGTAAAGGTGATCACCACTGAGCTTGATGACCAGAGTTTGATCTCCAAGTTCCACATGAAGGAGAGAGAACTGACTCCCACAAGTTGTCCTTTGATCTCCACTCATGCATGATGGCATGTGCACAAATGGGTACTTGCACACACACATGCACACGCGCGCGCGCACACACACACACACACACACACACACACGCACACACACACACACACACACACACACAAACAATAAGATATAATAACAATAGGGAATCATCTCCAAAGTAAGATCTACCCTAACTTTTGCCCTGATCTCTCTTGGATCAGTGGTTCTGGGGGAACTTTGAGGACATTCAAGCAGCCATTAGGGATCCAACCCCAGCAACAATGTGCCAGTCATGTTAGTGTGCCATTTTAGAACTGAACCCCCATTCAGTCAAGCCTTCAGATGATGGCACCCCCAACCCCTTCTCTGATTCCTGACTCACAGAAATTGTGTGAGATCAGAAATACTTAGCGTTTCAAGTTGTTAAATTTGAGAGGTGATTCATCATGCATCAATAGATACAAACAATGGTCAGAGTTGGAAAGAATTATAAAGCATATCTTCTACAACTTTTTCATTTTAGAGATGAGAAAAATACAGCCCAAGGAGAGAGACCTGCTGACCAACAAAAGGACAGGGGACATCTACAAGGACTAGACACAAATGCTGCTCATCCAGCCACTGCTCTTCCCACTACTACACTCAAACCACCTGCATAGCAGGGTTCCATCAATGTGGTGATATTTTATTTGTGCTTTGATAAATAAAGCTTGCTTGGAGATCAGGGGAGAAAGGCCAGCCATTTTTAATAAACAAAGTCAGGCAGCACACGCCCTTAATCTGAACACTTAGCCCGCAGGGTCTCTGTGTGTTCAAGGCCATACTAGGGAACAGAGCCAAGTGTGGTGACACATGCCTTTAATCCCAGTACCAACCATAGAGATGTGAAGTTCTGTACAGACAGACAGTGACAAGAAAGTGAGGTAGCTGGGCTAAGAGCCAATGAGAGAGCAGAACAGCAAGGCATATAAAGGCGTGGGTAGACAGGAAGTAACGTGCATTTGGAAGCTGCAGTTGGTGAGGTAACGGTGGCTGGTGGCTCTCCCTAGTTCCCTGATCTCTCTAAGGCTTTCACCCCTGTATCTGGCTCCATGTTTTTCATTTAATAAGACCGTTTAGAAATTTATCTACACATCAACTCAAGTTTTCTATTTCTTTAGTTTTTAAGAGCTTGACACTGTGCCATGCATGCAGGGGATGCTCAGCTGATGCTTCAGCAGTTTCAACTCAGACTGAATGAAAACTATTCTCCTGCCAGATGTGGTGGCACATACCTTTAATCTCAGCACTCAGAAGGGGGCAGGCTGATCTCTGAGTTCGAGGTTTGGTCTGAACAATGAATTCCAAGACAGTCAGGACTATGTAGAGAGACCATGACTCAAAAAAAGGGAGGGGGAGGAAGAGGAGGAAGATGTGACTGTTCTAATTCTGCTCTTGGAAATACTATAGGTCCTATCTAACTAGCAATTCAGCAGTGGCAGGCTTCCCCCTCCCTGCTTCAACCTGTTATGCTGTAAAGACCCAGGAGGCTCCCCCGAGGAGGGCTGAAGTGGTTCAAGACTGTGCTCACCCCTGGATGAGGCTACCAAACCAGGGTGGGCTGCAGATGAGACGCTGAGGGGAGTCTATCTTCTTCAGGAGGTCATAGGAGAAACCCTGGATGATGGCCTTCATATGTGAAGTGCAGCGCTGCATGAACTCCACCATCTGCAACACACAGCAGAGACACTCAGTGCTGACAGTATGAGGGGGTGGAGGCTTCAGCACGCCGATGAATGGTCTGATTTGCTGAGAGCTCTCAACAGGGAATCTCTGGAAAGGGAAAGACCTTGGTGATTTTCTAGAGACATGGAATGTTTTCATGGAGAGAACCTGTCAGCCATTCCCTCCAATTCTGTCCTTCAGTGGATGAGGAAGCTACACCAGGGTACACGGAAGTGCTGGCACTCTGCATGCTGTTTTGTTTTACATTTGTCATGTTATTTAGTTCTCATTAAAACGTATCACAGGATTAAGGAGGTGGCTTAGTTGGTGAAGTACCTGCCATGTAAGGATGAGGACCTGAGTTCAGAGTCTCAGAACCTACATGAGAAGTTGGGCAGGGTGGCACATGCCTGTGACTCCAGCACTGGGGGTAGAGGGCATCAGGGGAAGGAGACAGGTTCAATGAAAGATCCTGTCTCAAAAAATAAAGATGGAGGGGCTGAAGAAATGGCTCCGTGGTTAAAAGCACTTGCTTTTCACTCATCCAAAGGACCTGAGTTTGATTTCCAGCACCCACATGGCAGAACTAGCTTGTGAAAGTTGTCCTCCGACCTCCATACTCACACCAAGGCACATACACATCATAAATACACAATACCCGGTATCTTAAAGGGAAAGACATACTTTAAAAAACTAAAAAGATGGGGCTGGAGAAATGGCTCAGAGGTTAAGAGCACTGGATACTCTTCCCAGAGGACCCAGAGTCTAATTCCTAGCACCCACATGGCAGTTCACAACTGTTTATAACTCAAGTTCCAGAAGACCTGACACCCTCACACAGATACAAGTGCAGGCAAAAATATCAACTCAAATAAAAAACTGAAAAGGTAAAAGTTAAGATGTTGAGTGATTGAGCAAAGACACCTCATATCTGTCTCTAGCCTCCACCAGCACTTAACTTGTTTCCACTCAGGTCTCTCTGTCCACTGTTAATGCTAAGACCACTGTAAGTTTGTTCTGCTCCCAGGGATCCTGACTATTAGCCCATATTCTTCCACTGGGCATGGTTGGATAAGGAGGCCCACTCTTACCTGAGTGCTACGATCCTTCCCTGCTGCCAAAGCCCAGGCCTGGGGGTTTCGGCCCTTCTCATCATGGAGTCGCAGGTCACCCCCTGCATTCAGCAGTTTACTGAGGATCCACTGGTTGCCTGAAAAAGCTGCTGCATGGACAGGCGTGCTCCCATCAAAGCATCGGCTAGAAACAGAAAGAAATACAGTGAGTGTCCATGTTAACCTCCTTCCTTCCACGGAAGGGCTCAGTATTACAAGGTCTTCCAGTCATTAACAGTACATTTTAGGGATGAAGATTACAATATTGTTTGTGAGAACACTGATCTGTGGTAGCAAGAGCTTTACACATATTCTTTTTTAATCTTTTTTATTCAATCTTCATCTCAACCCTCTAAACAGAATCAAAAGGGCCTACCCAGGTAGGGATTTGAACCTGTGTTCTTTCCTTACTGCCCCCATGGTTTCACTGAAACATTTTCTTCATGATTGCAGTACTTTGGGGTCACGCTGGTTAAACACAGACCACTCCTCTCATGTGACAAGTGCTTTTTTATCCACACCAAATTCAGTAGGAGAGACCAACAAAAGTTTGGCATCACCAATCCAGCCAAGGATTTGTTCCTCAAAAATTCCACCAATGCTAGGAAACTAACTGAGGAGTGACGGTTGGCCTTTATTGTGTCCACAACAAGATGAGGGTGTAACGTATATAGCCATGACTTCTTTTTTAGTTTTGGCGTTGGTTTTTTGAGACAGGGTTTCTTTGTGTAGCCCTGGCTGTTCTGGATCTCGCTCTATAGACCATGCTGGTCCCAAATTCACAGAGATCCGCCTGCCTCTGCCTCCCAAGTGCTGGGATTAAAGGTGTGCACCACCACCGCCCCGTTTAGTCATGGTTTCTTAACAGGGTACACATCAGAATCACTTGGGAGAGCTCAATCCCTTTAATTGAAAAAGAAACAGCAATGAGAAAAGGAAATAAGAGAAAGTGATGAAGAGGAAGAAAAATGAAAATTTAACAGAAAGAAAAAAAAAACGCTTCCAACTTGTTTTCTTGCTCAGAGGCAATTAATTACAAGTTCCATATTCTAGATATTTTCTATGTATATACAGGTCTGAATAGAAACACGTCATTTGAGGCTGAAGAGCTGGCTCAGTGGTTAAGAGTGCACGCTGATCTTGCAGAGGACTTGGATTCAATTCCCAGCACACACATGGTGACTCACAACCATCCAGAACTCCAGTTTCAGTGAGGATTGACACCTCTTCTAACTGCCACACGTACCAGGCATGAAAGTGGCAGGTAAAATATTCATACACATAAAATAAATCAAAAAATGTTAAAGAATAGTTTATATTATATACATCATTCTACTAATGTGAGAGAACTTCCACATGAGAAAGCCACTGCACATTTCTTTTTAACATCTGTATAGTATTCCAGTATAATTTAGTCAATGAGGCACTGAGATATTTTCAAAATTTGAGTCTCAGGGGTAGGGCATGGGGACACATATCCATAACTCCAGTACTTGGAAGGTTGAGGCAGGAAAGTCATGAGTTCAAAGCAAGCCTGGTCTACAAAGTGAGGCCCTACCTCAAAACAAAACTACATACATACACACACGCAAGCGCACACACACACACACGCACACTCACATGCACACGCACGCATAGATTGGAGAGAGTTCAACAGCTGCTGCCCTTTCAAGTTCTTTGTCATTTTGGAACTGGGGCTCAGTGGTAGACAATTACCAAGACTCTACAAGGAACCGCAAAAACATTCAGGTCATTTTACATCTTTATGGATTTATAAACACATCTTTAAAAGATTTTTTTTCTTCTCCTTTTCCTCCTCCTCTTCCTTCTTCTCCTCTTTTTTGACACAAGGTTTCTCTATGTTGCCCTGGCTGTCCTGGAACTTACTATGTAGACCAGACTGGCCTTGAACTCAGAGATCCATCTGTCTCTGCCTCCCAAGTGCTGCGATTAAAGGCATGCACAATACCCAGCTTTCATTTTATTTTTAATTATATGTATACAAGCAAGTGTGTGCACACAAGAGAGCAACCACTCATACACCTCATCTACATAGCAAATTCCAGGCCATTCATGACTACATAGTGAAATTTTTTTTTTTCCCAGAGAGATCGTGTTGATCTATTGATGTTGCTTTGTAAGAACAAATTTACAGCTCAGGGAGGCATCCTGGGGGTGGGGGTCAGGTGGTTACAAAGCTACACAGAAGCTTTGATGTAGGTGGCAAGAAGGCGGCACTGCCAGAGGCTGGTTTGTTTATAGTGAAAGGCTGGGGGGGGGGGTGGCTGTGGCTGTGGGCAGGCTGGTCCACCTTTCCCTGCACCTGTCTCACAAGGACCCCCAGAGGCAATAGCTAGGAAGAGTAACAGCTGCTGGGATCTTCCCATCCTCTGGAAGCTGAAGAACTTGGAAACTAGATGTCAGTGCTGATGTGAATTCATCCTAGACTTGGCAGGCCACAGGTGCAATCTCTAGAAGTCCAGGAGCAGCTGAGGAAGCACCTTCTCCAGCTGATCCACATTCACAACATCTAGGTCCTCTCCCTGGGCCTGCCAAACCCCACAGACAGCAGCTTCTATTACGAAGATCCTCACTCAGGAGCTCTGCCATGAGCTGCAGTGCATCCCCACTGACTTTAGTCTTGCAATCCCTGAAGTGCAGATGCAGTAGTCTGCTCACCAGCTCCTTCCGGAAGCCACTGGTTTCCTCCATGGCCACAGTCTCTACATAGTGAAATTCTATCTTGAAGACGTTTAAATGATTTGATCTTTAAAGAACTAAGCTCTAAATCTGGACCAAACAGAGTTAAATGCAGGAGCCTGGAAAAAGTTGGACTTTTACCTAAGTACTGCAGGGGATCCCAGCAAAGCTAGTATCTGCAATCATCAGTTGAGCCCTTTTTACACAATATAATGGAGATAGAAAAATGCATGTGAGACTAGGAAAAATCTAGAAGGAAAGACAAGAAAATGTCCATTGTGTTCCTACCCCTGGATATAGAATTGGTACACTGAATGTCATTTTATTTTTTTTACAAGATTCCAAGTTTTCTCCTATGAAACAATACAAAACATTTAACATGAGAAGTTTTTGAGTGTATAACACAGGGCTTATTTAAGTAAGATGAGAAAAGATTTATGATTGTTCATATACTGAGATTCCTTTAAAAATCAGTTGGAATCACATAAATGCACACACACATGTTGTGGTTCAGATCAATGAGAACTGTAAAAGTACCTGCCTTTTTTTATTCCCTGTCAAGAATTACAGCTCAGGTGAGCATGTGTTAATACCTAGAAAGAAACAAGCATTTCCTAAAGAGACATTCATATGCTACCAAGTCATTACATTGCTGTTCTTCCATATTAAAATTTGTACCAAATATTAAACTGAGATTCTTTTAATTCACAACTATAAAAGTCAGGCAAGCCGGGCGGTGGTGGTGCACGCCTTTAATCCCAGCACTTGGGAGGCAGAGCCAGGCGGATCTCTGTGAGTTCGAGGCCAGCCTGGACTACCAAGTGAGTTCCAGGAAAGGCGCAAAGCTACACAAAGAAACCCTGTCTCAAAAAACAAAAAACAAAAAAACAAAAAAAAAAAGTCAGGCAAAAGTCATCCTTTCTGAAAAATTGATATCAAGTACATGTTTGTGGGTATTTTGAACTGTGTGAGCAAATGGAGTACATAACATAAATTATAACCCAGAGAATAGAAATAAACCAACAGTGATAGTAATTAGTAATGACTCATTATTCTCCCATATTTATTTTATAGGGTGAAGTATAATTGCTTAGAAAAATCAACTTTATTAGTTTAAACATTTCAAGATAGATATATAACTATTTTATTGATAAAAATTAACAAAGGTTCTTATTTTTTAATATTTTTGCCAAATAGGGGCTAGAAATAAAAAAATGCAGTCAGGCCAGGTGGTGGTGGCAGTGGCACATGCCTTTAGCCCCAGTACTTGGGAGGCAGAGGCAGGCAGATCTCAGTGAGTTCGAGGCCAGCCTGGTCTATAAAGTAAGTTCTAGGACAGCCAGGACTATTACACAGAGAAACCCTGTCTGGAAAAACCAAAAAGAAAAAAAGAAAAAGAAATGCAGTCAGGCATGGTATGGCATGCTTATAATCCCAGAACTCCAGCAGCAGAACAGGTTTCTGTGAGTTCAAGGCTAGCTTGGTCTACACATGGCAAGCTCCAGGAAAGCACAGAATACATAGTGAGACCCTGCCTCAAAAAACAAACAGCTGGGCAGTAGTGGCACCCACCTTTAATCCCAGAGCTAAGGAGGCAGGTGGATCTCTTGAGTTCAAGGCCAGGCTGGTCTCTGTGGTTACACAGAGAAACCCCTGGCTCAAACAAACAAAAGAAAGAAAAGGGGGAAAAAAGAATTGTATTTCTGCAGAAGTTTTAAAAAAGCTGGCAACAGTAGTGCCATCTTACAAAGCTTTAATGACCCTGACAATGAACTGGATGTGGAAGCACATGTCTTTAACCCCAGCACTGGGAGGCAGAGGCTGGCAGATCTATGTGACATGGCTCATTCCAGGACAGTGAAACCCTGCCTCCAAAAGAAAAAAGAAAAAAAAGAAACCCTGAAAATGTGAAAATTACAATATTGTAATGTGTGAAGCATTTTCATAAAATATTTAATTAAAATTTAATTACAACTTAATGAAACCTGATAAAATTAAGAAATTGCATGTAATTTTTTGGAAAAACAAAAGAGTGGTAACAAATGCCTATAATCACAAAACTCAGGAAGTGGATGCAGGAAGATTAGGAACTCAAGGCCAGCCTCAGCTGTATCAGACCCTGTCTGTAGACAGAGAGATGGCTGACAGGCAGGTAAAAGTGCTTGCTACAAGCCTGACCGCCTGAGTTTGACACCACACTTCCAGTCCAACATGCTAGAAGAAGAGAACCGACTCTCTTAAGGTGTCCTCTAACCTACACACACATACACTTCCACACTCGGAAACAAAGTGTAAAAAAGTTTTGTTTTTTTTTAAAGCTAGCACACTCCTAGAGCTTGCACAGTGGTTGGCATCTGTAATTCCAGCACTCTGAAGGCTGAGGGGAGGATCATGGGCAGCCTGGGCTAAATAGTGAGTTTCACACAGCATGGGAAGCAGAGTAAGACTCTGACTCAAGAAAAATGATGTTTAATGCATAATCTTTGTTTTCTAGAAATTAATATTATTATACTTACTGGTTTGGATCTGATCCATAATCCACCAGAACATCAACTAATTTCATATGGCCCAATAATGCTGCAACAAAAAGCGCTGACTGGCCCAGGCTGTTAACTGCATCAACACAAATTCCTGTAAAGCAAATACAGAATAAATATAAATATCAAGAATCATCCTGCAATGGGACTGCTGAAACTTACATTGAAGGAAAATTTTGTTTCTTGTGTTTTTTTATTTTTGGGAAAATTATTTAATGTATCTATGTGTGGGTGGGTGCATGAGAAAGCCAGAAGAGGACATCCCATTCCCAAAAGCTAGGAACCAAACTCTCAACTCTTAAATAATTAGGCATCTATGTAGCCTCGTGTTTTTTGACTTTTGAAACAGGGCCTTGTGGAGTCCTTAACCTCCCAATCCACCTGCTTTCACCTGTTGTAGAATATTATTTTAACTAGGCAACGATGTGTTACATTTGTTTCACCTTGCCTGTGTAAGGCACCTGATTGGTCTAATAAAGAGCTGAAGCCAATAGCTGGGCAGGAGAAAGGATAGATGGGGTTATTGGGCAGAGAGAATAAATAGGAGAAATCTAGACTTCAAAGGAAGAAGAAAGAGAGAAAGAGGAGGAAAGAACGAGGGAGACACAGATAACAAGAAAGTAAGAAAAGGTTAAAAAAAAGCTCCAAGAAAAAAAATTAAAAATTAAATAAATAAATAAATAAATAGAAACAGGTTATTTTAAAAGAGCTAGCTAAATAAGACTCCATGTCTTTATTTGGGAGCTGGTTGGTGGCCCAAAAAAAGAAAAGGCCTGGTACATCCACCTCCCAAGTGCTGGAATTACAGGCCTGTGTCAGCACACTGCATAGGGAGAAATCTTGAATTTTCCTGTTATTTACTTAACTTGCTTATTTAAAATAAAAGCTCAAATGGGGCTTGAGAGATGGCTCAGTGGTTAACAGCACTGGATGCTTTTCCAGAGGGTTGGGATTTGGTTCCCAGAACCCTTAGGGTGACTCACAGCCTTTTTAAACTCCAGTTGCAGGGGATCCAACAACCTCTTCTGGCCTCCTCAGGCACTATACGCACATGGTATACAGACATACATGCAAACAAGACTCCTATACAGGTAAAATAAGCATTAAAAAAAAAAAGACGTCTGTGTCCAGGCTGGCCTGGAATTTAAGATTATCCTGCCTCAACCTACAAAGTAATTGACATTAGTGTTTGGGTGGGAGCTGCACCTCAACCCTGGCACCCCTATACCCAAAAAGTCTGTAATGTTCTGGTGGAAGATCCACCTCAACTCCCCTCCCCTATCTCTTTTCCTAAATCCGCCCCTTCAAAGCCCGCCAAACACAGCTCCTCCCCGAGAGAGGCTCAAGACCACTCCTATAGGGTATACAAGCTGCATCCCAGAAAATAGACACGTGGTTTTCCGGTCTCTCTTCCCAGTCTCCTCTCTGAGGGGCTGGGGAATCATCCAGGAAAGCTTTACCTATTAAACCTAGGCTTTTCCAATTTAGTCTGATTCGGTTTAATTTGGATTGCTGTGTTGGTGGAGAGGCCTTCAGGGTGCAAAGACTTATCAATTAGGAGCTACAGTGCACCATAAACTGGAAAGGGGAACTTTTCAGAGGCAGGAGGATCTCTACAAGTTCGAGACTAGCCAGGTATACGTATTGAGTTCCAGGCTAGCCAAGGGGTTCACAGCAAGACCCTGCCTTTAAATAAACAAAACCAAACCTTTCATTGCTTTGGGGCTGGGCAGATGATTCAGAAATTAAGGATCCATACTGCTCTTGCAGAGGACCCAAGTTCTATCCCTAGCACCACACGACAGCTCACAACAATCTAGTTTCCAGTTCCAGGGAATCTTAACACCCTCTTTTGGCATGCCCCAGCACTAGGCACCCCGTGGTTCACATACATACAGGTAGGTAAACATTCATTCACATAAAAGAAAAAAAAATCGGCCTTTTAAGCTTTTAGATTTTTAGCAGCAGCTCAGCTGAAATCCATTCTGGATGAGGACTCAGAGGCTTTCAGTTTGAGGAGACAGGATTGGCTGAGAAGCTGGCAAGGTGAGGTTAGCTGTGGCTTGTTCAGTCTCTCTGATCTTTCAGAATTCATCCCAATACCCGGCTCCGGGTTTGTTTTTATTTATAAGACCTTTTCAGATTCGTGTTACAGTGAACTCAGGGCAAGATGCCACCCAGTTAATTTTCCAACTTGTAAAAAGGAACTAAAGAAAAGCTTAAAGCCGGATGTAGTGATGCATGCCTTTAATCCCAGCACTGGGGAAGCAGAGGCTGGTGATCTCTAAGTTTGAAGTCAGTCTGTTATACGGAGCCAGTGCAAGAATAGCCAGTCTTAGTCAGTGAAGGACTGAAAGCTGGTGAGGATGTAACTGAAAGAGGGGTCCACGTTCCAGCCATAGTAAGCAGCAGAACTTGACAGCTTCAGCCATATGGTTCTGACTTTAGAGTTAAGGATAGAAGAAAGAGGCTATGGAATTTGCCTCTGAGCCTAAAGAAATCCACTGAAGCCAGACATGTGTCAGGGATGTCCCTGCATGAAGGAATAGTAGAGGCCATTCTTGAAGCTGTAAAGTTGAAGCATGGATTGCCTTGGAGACCCCAAGATGTTGGAGATGCCAGAGCTGTGGGATACCTACTGAGGAAAGCTGCTAATAGGAAGTGGAAACAGCCCAAAAGAAAGAAGTGTGGTTCAGTCAACAAAGCTGAACACAGTTGGAGATCTGAAGAATGTTTTGACCTCATTCATGAAGAAGCTAAGTTTGGAGTTTGTCCAGCTTGTTTTTGGTCTTGCTTTGGTCCTGTATTTCCTCACTATGCTCCTTCCCTATGTTTTGGAATGGTAATGTATATTATGTGACATCATATGTTGGAAGTATGTGATCTGCTTTTTTATTTTGATTTTACAGAGATTATAATTAAAAGATTGAATAAATCTCAGAAGAGACTTTGAACTTTAAAACATTGTTGAGACTCTATAGACTATGGGACTTTTGAAGTTAGACTGAATACAATTTTGCATTATGATATATCTACAAGCCAGTGAGTAGAATGTGGTGGTTTGAAAAAAAAATGGCCCCCAAAGAGAGTGGTACAAAGGGAGGTGTAGCCTTGTTGAAATAGGAAGTGTGTCACTATGAGGGGTGGGCTCTGAGGTCTATTTTGCTTCAGCTTTGCTCAGTGTGACATTCAGTACACTTCCTGTTACCTTCTGATCAAGATGCAGTCAGCACCATGTCTGCCTGCATGCCGCCATGCTCCCCACCATGATAACAACGAACTGAACCTCTGAATCCGTGAGTGAGCCACCTGATTAAAAGTTTTCCTTATAAGAGTTGCTGTGGTCACAGTGTCTCTTCACAGCAATAGAAGCCCTAACTAAGACACTCCTCTTATATGGGTAATAATATTGTTGTATTAGAGCTCATTCTACAATTTCATTAACTCCTTTTAGGTCATTACTCTCAGTAAAGCCATGCTGGGGATTTGGATTTCGTTATACAATAGATTTGGAGAAGGAAAAAACTTGTCAGGTGCCAAAATGTTTGGCTCCTTGACTTAAAATTCAGTCTGTAAGAGGGTGGCTATATGAGCTCCTTTAATTTGACCTTGAGAGAACTAATATTAGTCTCTGCATATCTGACCACTCTGTGATAGTGTTTCTTCAATTTCTAATTCCAAAGCTTGATGAATTACTGTATTTCCCTCAGGAAATTCCATCCCCCATTAAAGTGTAAAAAAATATGAAGAATGAAAAAATCTTCTGACTGTAAGATGGCACCAGCTATCAAACCTGACCAGTTGAATTTCATCACCCTTACCCACATGACAGGACAGAACCAACGCCTGCCAGCAGTCAGGCTGTCCTCCGACTGCCATGCTCCGGCTGTGGCAAGAAAGTCCTCCAAAGATAAATACTCAGAATAATTTTTTGATCTTTTTTTTTGGGGGGGGGGGTTCATTTTTGTTTTATTTCACTCTGGTGGAATTGGCACTCACTAGGTGCACCAAGGCTAGCCTTGAACTCAGACTCACTTGCCTCTGCCCCAGCACTGGGATTACAGGTGTATGAAGTTGTTTTATTTTGAAGATTTATCAACCTACTTAATTTAATATGCGCGTACTGAGACCGGAACCAGGAACAATTAGTCCAGGATGGCTCTCCAAGTCTACCTTCAAACTTTCTGGTTAATCAGCGATCTGTGGCTTCCTCAAGATTTCCCAGTGTTCTTTACTTTCAGCATGCTACAGAAATACAAGCCTAGGTAAACTGGGCATTACTAGTAGAAACTAGAAAATACTAATGCTAACTCATCCTTATACTTGGAAAACGACCTAAAATCTTATATAAGGGTCTACTAAATAACTCAGATTAAATTTATTTAGTGACAAAAGACAGAAGTTGATTCTGAAAAAAATAAAGACAAGCAGAAAAATAAAAGAACTAGTCAGGACATAGAAGTAAAAACAAGTAGTTACTGGAAACAGAGCTAAACCTGTATCCAGCTCTATCTAGAAGTCCACCTGCCTCTGCTGGAGTTAAGTCAGTTCGGGCAAAAGCAAGGGATTAAACATAAGGGGATAAAGACGGTCCCGAACAAGACTACCTAGACCTTCTGATTTTAGGAACCGCGCTCCTCACACCGAGGTCCACTCAGACTGCGTTCCCTCCCTCTCACTCTCCCGAAGGAAGAGAAGAACGATCATCAATGGCAGGAGGCAGCTGCAAAGAAGCAGCACCTAGAGCCGGCTTCACGCTCAGGAGGGAACACTACGTCTCGTCCTCGTGGTCTCGGGTGCTCTACACAGTCAGAGAAACTTCTCTAGTAACGAACTATAGAAATGATCCCTGAAAGTATAGTCTTAACCTCGCTCCGCCGCGCTCCACACGCTCTACCCAGCGCGCTCACATCTTACTGACGGTGAGCTCGGCCAGCCCCAGCCGCCCGCCGCTCTGGCGCGGCCATTACACACAGCTTTGGCACAGACGCTGCCGTGTTCTCCGAGGAACACCTCCGCTACCAAGTCCACGGGGCATCCGAGCCGCTACACTTTTCCAACTCAAGGGAAAAACAAACAAACAAAAAAACCCAC